ACAACTTTCATTCAGCAAGTGATGTGAATTTTGGAAGCAACTCCAAAATTTACGAGAACATGTCGTTGTACTTGTTCTCTATGAAGTTGCTCGAAGACCGACCCAGAGGGTGTTCTTTATGATGATGACCACTGATAGTAGGGTAAATTATTTACGTTATTTTCATTACAACATAGAAGCTTGAATTCTATTTTTCTAGTGGACAGTTTATATTTGTTTTCCATTGGGACACTATCTATGCTACTTTGGATACACTTTGATTTTCTATAGTGGACAATATTGTTCTTTTACTTGTGAGAAAAATTGAATCATATAATTTTTATTTTTTTTTCAATGTTTATTGATAATTGTTGTTTGTTTAAAGCATGTTATGATAATAGCTAATTCGGTGATTCATATATGTGTTAGCAGCATCGACTGTGGTTAACATGGTCAGAGAAAAACGATGAAGAAGAATTGCAGCTCTGTTGTTCTTGATATATGAGTATTACTCGCTCTCCTTACATGACATTTTCATGCATTGACAATAAATGAGTTGGAGAGTTGCTTGTATGGCACCCAACAAGATTTAGCAATATATTCTGCATGACAGTCCGTTTTCATCGATCTCTTGAAAGAACTACCTAGGAATAATAGAGTTCATGGCTCCTCTAAGATCACTTCAAGAGATGTGTTATCAATAACACTCTACATTGTATCACATAATGAATCTATGAGAAGAGTCATAGAACTATTTCAGCAGTCATATGAAAAAATTAGTAGATATTTTTAAATTGTGTTGAATGTTCTAGTACATTTCTCATCAGCAATTATCAAACCCGATGACCCAACATTCCAAAGAACCACCATAGAGATTTCACAGTACTTCCAGAACTATAACGAGACATTCAACCTTATTGGCTCTTCTGGATGGCCTATATGCTGCTATTGGTTCTTAACACGTGTGAAATCCCAATGAAGACAACCAAGTTCCTCTCCGTTATCAGTCCTTATGAGATTCTCCTATATGATTTTTTTGGTGATATGCATATGTGACACATACAAGCTCAGTATTGTGTGGTTTAAATGCAACTAAGAACCCATACTTTTTTAAAGTCCACTGTCTTCTTGTAGTGATAGATTCATTAGTTTATACCCTGTTCTCTAAGACAACATAGTTTCATAAAACTCGAATTGTGTGCTTCGATTATTCTTCTTATTAATGTTATATCTAAGAGTTTTTGTTTTGTGGTTTTAAACCTTCAGAAAAAATGAGTTCAAGAATTTTCGTTACCTCCAGAACATTGTACTGCTACTGTGGATCACAATGTTCTCTGCTTACTTCGCGGCAGTCACATAGCTATGAAAGATAATTTTATAGGTGTGAGAAAAAGAACAAAAAAATGTGACTTCTTTAGATAGGAGGATCGGAAAGAGGATTCCACTGCAGATAGTGATCAGACGTGAAGAGTTTCGTTGGATGAAGGATTATCTCGTGATATTAACCAACTGCATTTTAAAAACAATATTATGATATTAGTAATTGTTATTTTAATAATTTTTTTAAATTTCGATTATTGTATAATTATTGTTATGTGAGGTGTCTGTTTTTATTTTGTAATATTCAATCTGGATATTTATTTTCAAGTATGAAATGTGCTAGCAGAATTGGTTATGTTATAAACAACGCTATACTATAGGGGCAAAAGGATCATCTGTTCAGAAACAATTACAGCATAGCTGCTACAAAACTGTGAAAAATAAATAGACAGTCAGCTTCTCCGCAATAGCTTCCTAGAACAACTGCCCAAAACATACCCTTAAAATTATTGGCAAAAACATGTTGATTTTCTTAATGTGGAAGCATCTGAGTGTATACTCTTTTATAAATTTATTAAAAAACAACAAGATCACTCTTCATTTGTATAATGATTTAATATTTATTTTTTATCTAGGAGCCCAGAATATACTCGAGGAGAGAAAATTATAGGATATTAGCAGAGATACGCTACCTAAAAAAAATGATAATGAAATGCTTCAGTTTGTTGATCTTCTCTTAACGAGCCATCTTTGAATCAAGTTTATTCTAAATGAGGGTGAAGAATTCATCAAAGAGAGCATATGGGCTAATGATAACGATGACCATAATATTGGGTGTGTTAACTACAATTAATGATACTTATGTATTCATGTTTTATTTGATTATTTAAAGTATAACAATAGTATTTATTATTTTGTTGAATTTTCAATATTTTAAAAGTAATATCAATAGAAAAAAAGAATATGTGATAACTCAAAACAATTAATGAGTGCCTTGATATATAGTACTTTTTTTATTAGTAATTATATTTAGTTACTTATCTTTAAAAAAATTGTGAAAATATACTTCATTTTATGATATGCTCACTCGAAATAATAAAGAATTATATATTTCATATTAATAATTTATTAAATACTAAAATATGTTCATCACACGTGTTCTACCTTTTGCAATTGTGACACTAGTCACTTGAAACTTCCAGCAACTTACATCTCATTATACCAATCTCATTTAGATGATCAAAAACATATATTTACGGATAGATGAATATTCCATCCACTTTAATTCCAACGAAATATTTATATCTTGCATATGGAGAAAGGAGAAAAAAATTGAATTTTATGTTATATTATTAGAAATCTTGCCCCTCTACTAGTGCAACAGAATTCCAAATTACAATTTGAAAATTTCTACCAATGAAAATTACTAATCATATAGAAATAAAGACATTATACAACTTGCACACATAGGTTTCCCTCGAAATCTAAAGATTTCTTCCTCTTGAGGCCATGGATTGCTGGATGGCAAAACGTGTGACCAACTATGCAATCCCACAAATTGCTATGCTAACCACTATTTAAGCTAATAGCTTGAAATGCTCTCAATCTCAAGCCATTATACTAAAAAATGAAGCGCAAAACACAACTACACTAGGCAAAATATATCTTGGAGCAATATGAATTACTCAGATGATGGCAAAATAGAACACTGAAAAAAATAATATAGACACTCTAGATTTGTTATAACTTATGAAGCTCAATTTAAACCAATGAAAAATTGAGTGGTTCCACAAGTGATAAAATGTGACATTCTGTTCACACTATTTTATTTTCTCATTCTTTTGACGGGACATGTGGCTTGCTCATGAATAGACAATGCAAATTAATAATATAATAGAAAAGGATGTCCTTTTCTAATGAAATCAGGTATATGCCCCCAATTATTTGAGAAACAATAATTGATTCCAAAAAAGTTCCCAAGTAATTTATTGATTATTTAATTGATTAGCAACCATTGTGAAGATGACCTTATACACTAGGTTTACTTGGAGCCTTTGCAATTTGAAGTGAAGCTAGAGGACAAATCAAGAAAACTAAAATGTCCAAATAAATATTCCAAGAATAACTTCACGGGTGTACCTTTGAGCATCATATTTTGATTGAGTTTGTTAATTACCTTAAATCTTCAGAACGATTAATATGCCATAAAAATTTCTAAGACTAAGAAGCATGCTTCTTTTAGTGGAAAGCTTGATAGTATAATTTAAAAAAAAAACTATCATCACCAAGAATCCGATGTAACTTCTGTAATAGATTCGGGCATGTTTGCTATGCTTGTGAATTTAAAAAAATTATGGCTTCCACTTTTTACAAATTAAAGTTTGAATTTTTGAAGGCACTTGCAGATATAAACCAACCTACAAATTTAAATCCACTTGGCTGTAATGCTATAATGCTATTGAACCTGCACTTTTTTGGATACCCAATCCAAGACAGGTAGCCAACGCAGTTCTCTGCATATATTAAAAGTATGGCGTACATGCACTTGTGATCAAAAAATATTTTGAGATATATGTACAAATAAATTTATGGGAAAGGCATGGCATGATGCACAAGTGTTTGCTACATTCTAACATCTAGCTTAGTGTTGATTATGATTCTTATATTTGTTTAGTTCCATTCATACTAGGTAATCTACATTATGATGATTCAATAACAATCAATGAATAAACCATCTACATTATGATGATTCAATAACTATTAATGAAAGAACCTTTTACGTTGAACACATGTCCTAAATTATGTTAGATAGTTCTGGTTGCATGCATTATATCTAAATTTTGGACTCAATCTGGATGCCTAAAATTTTAACGTGTTTAATTCATATCTTGAATTTATACAATTGATGTCATTAATAAAAAAAAAACATAAACACAAAGAAATACAGTACAATTAATACATAATTATAGTGAATAGAAAGATAACTCCCTAACCATCCAACACAAATATGTAGAGTTTCGATAGATAAATGGATGCATGTGCATACCATGCATCCAAAATCTTCCAACTCAGATTAAGAACTCAAGCCCAGGATCTAGCATTAGGCTGGGTACTTAAGGCGGAACATTTGACTGCTATAAAAAACACATACTAGCATTGACAAATGAACCCGAGGAACATTCTAACTGATAATATAAGCATTACGCAAAGATAATTTACTATCTCCATGCACTGCTCATCACTTATTCCCAAGTAAGCCTATAGAAGAAATTCAAGGAAATGAGAAAATAATGGGCATTAACCTAAATAACCTTAATTTTCTAACATATTTAAACTACCACATCACCCTTTTGGCCATTCTTCTATTCCTTTCTTTCAAACATAAAAGAAATGGAAATAACATTCACAAACACAGCCAATGAGAAAGAACTTGTGCAGTATTAGGCTGCTTTCCAGGGTAGAAGCTACATTTCATACAGTAAATGATAAATATGACTTACGAATATGGAACTAAACATACTGATTTCATCAAAATTTATCATGCACTGCCATTAGAGGAAAAAGAGAACTCATAGTTCAAGTCTACAAAATCCATGCCATGGCTTTTTATACGTGGATCTGGTATACCTAACAGAGGTCCATCTAGTAATGAAATGAAAATTTATCATGAATTAAGAAGGCTAATGAGTTCTTCAAGATACCTGGATTGACGTAAGAATTGCAGCCACATCATAGATGGGGCTCCACTGATTCTGCAAAATATCCAAACAAATACTTCCATCTGCATAGACTACAAATTCAAATAATAAAAAGATAAGAGTAAGAAATTTACAAGAAAAATAATGTATATATATATATATAGAGAGAGAGAGAGAGAGAGAGATGTGTGTGTGCGCGTGTGAGAGAGGCCATGAATTAGCTGTCAAAAGCAACTAGCAGAAAAAAACAAAAAAAAAAAGAACAATTTATTTATCATGAAAAACCAGGAGACAGGAACAACTCTGAATTGGTTTCATATTAGTTTCTTTAGAGAATTTATCTTTACCGGAAAACACAATCCCGAACTAAGAGATCTTAGCATCAGTTCAAAATCTCCACCCCCAACATAAAACCTCTCCACAAAATTCCAGAATACACTCAGTGCCAAGGCTAAAACTTTTAAACGACAAATGTTGTGCCAAACAGCCCTTGATAAAAAGCTATTCTTGAAAAGTATACTACATATAAAATGAATTGACATGGTTTATAAACTTAAACATAGATTTTATCAGCGTATCCAAAACAGAATCCAATGTGTACAACATAAAGTAGCAAAGATAACACAGCATTAATAATATCAAAATTCATTACATAACTCAAGCACAAATGATAAAATCATAGATATAACAAAGCATCATAAGTGAACAATTATGGCAGCCCAAATATCACAAATGAAATAAAGGTAAGAATATCAAAAGAAAAGGTAGAAAATCAGAACACAGGTCCGACTCACATGTCCTCTAAGCCAAAAAAAAAAAAGGTAAAGAAAACATGGAAATAAAATAAAAGTTAAATAAGATGAAAAACATGATAAAAGGTCAGCTCCCAAATTATACTCGAGGGAAAAAAAACAAACGCTGAGACAGATTAAAAAGACTGAAGTAAAATCACAATAGCCAAATACCATTTAACATATATTGCATAACTTATCTTAAACAAGGTAAGGTATGACACTATAATTTCTAGCCATGATATTTTTGTACTGTGTTATTTTGGCATATCGAAAAATGAATTTTAATTATAATATATTTAATAATCTTACAAGCAATACTTATATGAGGCATCTAACACAAGAACAAATGAGAAGCCAAAGTGCCTGCCTTTGTAACATGAATGGCATAGAGGAAAAACATCATAGCACTGCAAAAGCTCTAAGGGACTTCAGTGCAGCTATTATCTTCCTCACAAGTGGATTATGAAAATCCTTCTCTATGGACCTCAGTAAGCCTCTAAAAGCTTCCAAAAGAACAAAACATCATTGAGTTACCAATCTACAGTAATATTATAATAATATTTCTGCAAGCCAGGACTTTTTTTACCATAATAGAAAGATGCAATAATTAGAGACCACGTGAGGAAACAAAACAAGCACAGAGTTAAAAAAAATCTTCTGTATGTGTTGGGATGGGGCTAGGAGGTTGGGTAGGGAAGCAGGGGAAGAGAAGAATATTGGTCTATTGGCTTTACTACTTCAATTTAAAATCCAAGTTGTAAAGTTTTCTAAAATAATGGTTATTGATTCATAACCGCTAATATTCATGTAACATCTTTATTTAAGCGGCCAGTATGCTCAATCACGGTGCCTAATTAAAGTGGGATACCCCCAGTGTTGCACACCTTGCTAGATCTATTTCATAAAAAGGCAAGCATCTTGAAGTAGATTGACGCACTAGACACAAAAAACAAGCATTCTTTGAGTATCAAAAAATTAGCTACCCATTCAACTGTTTTCCATGTTTTTTTTCCCTCATAAAGATGGCCTACAGTCTATGTTGATAAGAAGTACGATTATCATGATTTTAATATATGTCATCAACTTTGTATAGACCATACTAAACTCAGAATCAAGATCCGGATAATGCACCAAGACAGATCTTCAAGTTCCTTAGCTCAATTTACCAAGCCAGGATCCACAACTTGCTGGCGCCATCAAACAAATACATTCCTTCATCTGTCAAGCTCAAGGAGTCCATCTAATAATGCAAGTCGGTCCGTTTTATAATATCCGATCAAACCTAATAAAAAGGAGCCAAATCGCTTTAAGGTTGAATTGGTCTAAAGTCAAACTATCCTAAGAGCCGAACAGGCTAACAAGGATGTGACATAGCAACAAGCTGGGAACAAAAGACAAAGGATAACAGGTCAGAAATAATGTTAATTGTATACTAATACCATATGAACACAAAACAGAATAAACAAAAATAACCTAGAGATCTAAACATAATGATTACATTTTTATAAAATATGAGAAAAACCCACTTATAAAAAGGGAAAAAGATTTATGTAATAGATGATGAATAATTAATCACTGGATGATGTAACGCAATTCTCTCTTAGTAAACAAAAAAAAACCCCTCGCTTAAGTTTATTCCCCTTCTTCACTAGCTCTTTTCTTGAGATGTGAGTCTACAAACAGATTATGATTCAACGTCTTTTAAGATGCAATCAGCACGAATTATGCTACATACAAAAAGAGAAGCTACACAAAAAGCAAAACCAAGTCACAGAGAGAACCAGAAATATGAATTGTACTAGAGAATTTGTCATTCAACAGATCATTAAGTTAAAAAAATAAATGATGACAATGATAAGAGGAACACTTGCATAAGCATCAAGAGAGCAAGCACACCTGCCTCATCTGATAGCCCCGATACAATGGAGGAGGGAACTTGGCTCTAATGGATGAAGCTGACACTTACTACCCTGACAACGCAGGCTCGGACCCATTCGAGCATGAAAGGAGAGTCAAAACCCCACGATCATACCCTTAGAGAACACCTCCCAAGAAATTGCTAAAGCAGAGACACTGGAGCACTTCAAGATTCTGTCTTAGAAACCATATTGAGGGAGGTCGAATACATCAGACCACATCGCCTTTTTCAAGTCTACCACTTATTTACTGAAGGAGAAGAATGCTCTGAAGTGTCGATTAGTTTTAATGAATTTAAAGGAATCAACATTGAGATGGTTCAAAAGTATACCGCTTACTGTGACTACCTCCTGCATGAACTTTATATGCATGATCGTAGAGAAGTTTATCAGCACTCAAATACTGCAGAAAAGTTCTCAAGCCCTATTGTGAATTCATAAAGAACCAGGTGAGACCCTGCGAGCTTTTGTTACTCACTTTCAGAGCGAAATGTTGGAAGTCCGAGATCTTGAACCTGCAATCACCCACACTGCATTAACTCAAGGGATGAGAGAAGGTTTTTTCGTTACGATCATGGCCTATAGAGGCCTATAGAGCCACAAAACCTTAGCCGAGTTGTTGGAACTAGCCAACAACCATATCTTCGTGAAGGAGTAGAATTCATTTCTTACCACCGGACATGCAAGGATACGCACACCAAAGAGAAACTTCAATCAAATAAGCAGAGGAATAATTCGTTGTGCGGCCTATAATGAGGTCTAATTTTGAGAAATGTCACCCACGTTCTTCCAAGAAAAGAACATTTTCAAGAAAGGCAAAATCATCCACCGAACAAATTCAATATCAAAAGTGGCGAGTTGATCGTCATATGGAAAAGAGGTCACTGTCACAAACTCACTAACTACCGACTCAAACTCTCTTGCGAGTCTCAGTGGATGAGATAGTAGAGTTTATTCAGAATAAAGACTATTTTCTAGGGCTAATGCCTATAGAAGCAGGCGGATATCTACGCGAGTACAAAAGTATTGTGTCTATCATCGCGATAATGGTCATGACACTGGGAAATGTTGTCACCTCAGAAATCTGATTGAGAAATTGGTCAAAGCTAGGAAACTAAAAAAGTTCATTGCACTGGGAACGATCACTTGAAGGCAAAGATATGCACCAGTTGAAGAATCCAATAACAAGTCGATTCTAGCTCAAGTGAACCACATAACGGGCATAGTACAAACCATACTTGGCCGAAACGAGATAGAAGCATTGTGCCAAACAAGCCTGAAAAGGTATCGCTCCGAAGAAACGTGCTTGGAGACATCATTTCATCACAGAGTTGTGAGTCAACCACCCGTCATCTTCACTAATGAAGACCTACCTCTAAGGAAAATTCTTATAATGATGCAATCGTGATTACAACACTGATTGTTAATTTGTATATAAGTAACATCTTTATCGATACAGAGAATTTTGTTTAACATTCTTTTTAAAACCGTTCTTGATAAGATGAACCCTCGTTCCTTGCATCTATCTTCCACCTCAAACTCCTTGTATAGATTCTCAGAAGATAAAAAATAAATCATGAGGGTCATAGTACTACCCATAAGTTAGGGGACAAGCAATTCACAATGATAGTCGACTCTCTAGTGACTTATAATATTATTTTTGGTTCTTCACTCATCAAAACTTTTAAAGCAATCATCTTAACATAACATGTTATCCATATATACACAGGAAGTGGAAAATTGATTATCGTTCGAGGATATTTGGAGCAATCATGCACTTACTACCTACGGGAGGTAGGCAACATAGAAGAGGAAATCATCCAACTCGAAGTATAGTGGTGAAGCAGCATGGAGATAAATAGTAATAGAGGAAGTCAACACCACCGAAAACGGGCCAAGTAACACTTCTCAAATTAGCACTATTTTTATGTAGAATTCAAAAACATGTTGATCAACATCTTGTGCTAATACTATCATCTGGTTTGATCAACTAAAGAAATGTCATGTATTGATGTCGATGTTGTCTGTCATAACTTGAACATCAGCTCCAGAGCTTGACCAATAAAGCAGATGTGTTCTGTTACAGTTACCCTCAAAGAGCCAATTCCATAAGAATGCAAAAGCTGATGAACATCAGCTACATTCGAAAAGTACAGTGCCTACACTAAATCGCCAATGTGGTTATAATTTTATAATTGAATGAGAAATTTTACAGACCATATTTGGCCAAAACAAGATAGAAGCATTGTGCCAGACAAGCCTGGAAAGGTTTTGCTCCGAAGAATCGTGCTTGGAGACTTCATTTCATCACAGAGTTGTGAGTTCCTTGCATCTATCTTCCACCTCAAACTCCTTGTACAAATTCTCAGGAGATAAAAAAAG